TAGGTGTTCTAACCTTTCTCCACTCTGTCCAAAACTAAACAAAACGTTTGCATTTAGTTATACTTTAATCCTGGGACTGGATTGCATCTTGTGTGCATGTGATCAATGAGTGTGAGCATGTGTGAAATCAAGTAACCAGCAGTCAGAAACCCACTGATACTAACCAAGTGCCCTCCAAGTAATAGAACAACATTTGATGCCTTCTATAAGTGTTCCAAAAAGAAACTGTTACTACATAGGCTTTGTGTAACCCTTGACTCCCCATAGCAATTTAGATATGTAGAATGACAAGTACCTGTAATTTTTGGCTCAAAGAATCTCTCTGGTCTTGCAACTCTTTTGCGTGCTCAACTTCTTCCTTTAATCTTTCTATTTCCTAAAAGGACAGAGGGCGAAAATGTAAAAATATTTCACAATCAATGAAACAGGCAATAATAATGAGCTTCAGCAAGTCCAAGCATTTTGGACATCATCACTACTCATCCAGACATGTTGCTAAAAGCCTCAAGGCCAAGAAAACTATTTTAATTTGGGCATCCCATAATTTCACAGAGTAAAACGGTTCAATTCATGAGCTTGATGTGCTGTTTTGTTTTTTTCTTTCTTTAATTTGTAAAAAAATGTCACCTTTATTATTCTTGACAATCTTCCTAAAAGCTCAAAATGCAATTACAGAAGGAGCAGCTATGGTTGGGCCCCTCTCATAGGCCCAGAAGAAGTTTCCATTTTCTTGTAGTGACCCATAGCAAGCCTTTAAATTAAAAAGATGCATTCTGACTGGATGACCGCAATAAGTCAAGTGTGAACGAGCCCTTATAAACAGAAATAAATACCCGAGAGAGGGTCTAGCCCTTCCTTACCATATCAAAAATGTAACGTTTGTTCAAAGTTAGGGCTTGCACTTGTCCTGAATATACAATTCATTCTAGTGAGGTTTTTGGGGAGTGTAATAGACACTACAAGCCATACAACAGTTTATCTATAGAATTATTATGTGTACAAAACAGTTGTTTATGTACCAGGAGTTGGCTCTGTTAAAAGTGACACTGGAAGAGGTTAAAATATCAATCTGATTTTACACAGAGTCATCATCATTCCCATAAAGGTATTTGCACTTAGGCTACGTTCACACTAGCTTTGTCAGAAGACATCAGACATCAAACGCCTATGAAAATTCTGCACATGGCAGCACAGAGTGCTGTTCACACTGAAGCGTTAGCATCGCGTTGCGGCAAAACTGATGCCTCATGTCGAGTCAGGAGGAGTTGAAGCCTCCAATTCACGTCTATGGTAACGCTCCTCAGACGCCTGGCAGGCGTTTGCGAGGCATTTGCGGAGCATTAATACCATTTAACTTCAATATAGGCGTTTCTGGTACGGTTTTAACGCTTGGCAAATGCCTATCAAACGCCTCAAAACCACACATAGGGTGTTTGGGGATCCTTTGAGGAGCGTTAAAAATGCTTCCCAAACGCCTGTCTAATGCCTGTTAAACGCTATAGGGGCGTTTGGCAAGAACAGTGGCAGCAGAAGCAGTGTTGCAAATACCAGTAAAAGTAGATTTTGTACAACTACATCTCCTATCAGATATTCAAAACATTGTCTGCACTGGAAAGCCAAACCTGTACATGACATAATCAGTAGCAGGTTTAATCTCATCTGTCAGATAATGACCCCATGTGTGGGGACCATTGAGCAGAAGTAGAACATTTCTTATTACTGATGTGCACTGCCCTTAGCATCATCTCTGGCTCTTCCAGTTTATCTCCAAATGAACTCTCAACTGCAGGGGGGATTCCAACCAATAAACCCAGTAATGTGCTATATTGGTAATCTAAATGATAACTAAAAACATAATTCGCATCACCGATGAACAGAGCAGCTATTTATGAATATGCTTTACTTAACATAAACTCCACACAATTGTTTAAAAAAAGTATCCAAAAAATATAGTAGACTGAAAAAATATTATATAATGTTACCTAAAGCATAATTTTTAGTTTAGAATGGGGAAAAATTAGAATTTGACAGTTTTTCTTTTTTTTTTTTGCTTACGATCCCAACTAATGTGTTGCATGCAGAGTTTTCCACAGCAGGATAACTCCCTGTTGGCTGCCTAGAGGCCTTCCTTTGCAACCTTCTTGGTATTAGAAAGCAACGCCACTGGTAATACATAAATTGTTAAGCATTTCTGCTAGTGTGCTCAAAACGTGTTGGATTTTTCCACTTGAGAAAGTTATTTTTAATGTGCATTCAGCATATGAGTATCCACACTCTGGAACAGCTTACTAGATATAGGTTAACTTGACTGAAGACCCTAACATAACCAAGGTGTCACTCACAATATTCAAAATATGTAATGGTACAGAACACTAACATAGACTGCAGGCACGCTAAAGGACATGATCAGACTGTGAACATGCTACAGGTGTGGTCGGAAACTGGAGACCTGCTGTAGGAGACAGTCAGAGATGGGACATGTTACATGTGACTGCTAAAGATCACTGCCACTACACTCTAATTGGTTCAGCACCACTGGCCATGCACAGATAACTAGAAACAGACTATATACTGGAGGTCAGCAACCAGTAGATTGTGGCCGGGTGACTGGCAGATCTCAGTCTTGGCTTGCTGACCTGCCATCCCAGAGCATCAAACAGAGTGCAATGCAGAGGGACTACTTGTAAAGTTGGAGCTGTAGTAGGGAGCAAGAGCCACATAGGCCAATGCCTCCTCTGTAGTGCTGAATCCTGTCCCATGCAGAGCGAAACCAACTGCACTCCGCCTCTTATCCCGGCTAGTGGTCTCCAGAGTGGTTCCAGCAGCAGGAAAGAAGACATCTTCAGGTCAGTGTGAAGCAATACACTGGGCATAATAGATTAAGGTTGCTTTCACACCGATGCACTGCAGTTTACCCCCACCACAGGTGCAGTGCAATGTACATGCAGCTTTCCTGCAGGTTTGCTGAACTTAGCCATAGACGTCTATTATATCTTGCAGATTTGGTGCACTTTCTGAAAGCGCACCAAAACTCCATAGAGTTGTGAGGCGATTGCAGAATGGCCCCATTTACTTGAATAGGTCATCAGTGGCAGGAGGTAGCACCCACCAAAAGCAACATGGGGTTAATTCCTGCTGCGGCATGTGTAAAGCTTTGGCTGCTGGTTGGCTGATTGGGAGTGGTAAAATGGTGACTCAACCGCAGAGTTTTACCACCCCCTAACTTTACGTGTGAATGAGTCCAAAGGGAGGCGCTGAGAAATGCAGTTAAGGGCTCATTCATAAGGTGGTGAGGAGGTGATATGTTGCCTCCTCATCATCTGATTTAAACCCACGAATGCCATGCAATGCACACCAATTGCGACACGGTAGAGGTCTAAATTAGGATTGAGGAGGCGACACTGTACCTCTGAGATCTTTGCCTTCTCCCATGTTGTTCAGGCAGAACTCTACCTCTTTAAAGTTGCCTACCCCTGCTATATACTGTACATACTCAGATAAAGTGAGTTTATCAGGAACAACCAGCGAGTTGAATGGATAAAAAACATACAGATCCCTGCATCCACACAAGCATTGTGGATGCAGGGATCTCCCCTGCCATGCTAATGTATTCTGACAGTGAGGACTCTCCCCACCTATCAGAATACACAGATCAGCACTGCAGCCATTGGCTGCATGTGCTGTTTGAGTGCTGGATTTTCAGCATGACTGTCTGACAGAAGCCAGTTGTTAGACCAGCTTCTGTTGAATAGACAGGTGTACACACAGAGCAAAATGTGAACAGTTCCTACTGAACCATTTAATTTTTGACCCATGTATACCCAGCTTAAGTCAATTTGGAAATTACTGATAATATTGATAATTATAATAAGCTTGGACACAGCATTCTTGTGTATAGCGAGTTGTCAATGCAATTCCATACCAAAATGGCAATGAATGGATGCAAAACATTTAAATAGGTTAATGGAGACTAAAGCGGCCAGCTAGATGGATCGAATCTTGAATGATTCAACAGGGACTGGCTGAGATTTGATCCAACTATGGGCAGGCTGGTTGTTCCATTGATGAACCAGGGTACAACCAGCCTGTTGAGTTTTTTATAAACAATTGCTGCCGGCAGCTGTAGCCACTAGGAGTAATTACTGTGTTCTGCCGACACAGAAGGTTCCCTGCCGGCCGAACACAATTTTCTTTCCTCCCACCCGTGGTGGAAGAAAATAAAATCTAATTATCTATGGCTTGTTTAAATCCAGTTGTTTCTTTTACTGTCTGAATTGCTGTAACTTTCAGATGTGATCATACATGTGTCCCAAATGACCCAATTTGCTCTACCCGTCATCTGGTATTTGGCCAGATTAAGGACAGCATCATATATGTATTTCTTCTGCGGCCTTAAACAACTTAGTTTTTTTCTGGATGTTTTAAAAGGCATTGTAATGGCATTGCATGGGCCACATCCATGCTGGTGCACAGACCAAAACACAGACAGTGTACATTTGGGGCCGTGCACCCACACTCATGTGGATGCCAAATTGGGTGCACTGGTTGCATCCCATTTGACAGCAATGGGACTGCCTGCACAAGGATGCATGGAACATCTGTGCATCCCTGCGTGGGTAAACACAGCCCTTCCATGGGTATATGCTGTAGTAAACCCCATTTGAACAAGGCCTAAAACAGCATTGTTCACTGCCATGGATATTTCATCAATATGTTAGTGAATAACAGTGAAACTTACGTAAAAAAAACCTGATGTACACCAAAATGTGTCTGACTCTATGTACTAGCTTTATCCAAAGATAGACAATAAAAATTTGCATGTACCTCCTGTGTGCAGTACAAGAAAAAGTAAAAAAAAAAAAAGTTCTGTTATCAACCTAAAGAATGGAATACCTCTTCTTTCTTTTTCAGCGTAGATTCTAATTCTTGTATTGTCTGATTAAGTTCTGTTTTATGCGTCTGCACTGCGTTCGCTTGACTGCTGAGACATTCTAATTCGCTCACCTGTGTAAAGATAAGATCAAAAGGAATAATTATTCAAGAGAGGAATCTGAATATTCCACTGTACTTTTTTTGGCATGTTTCACTTGGAGCTGTTCTCAATCACTGCTCATTAATGTGCTAGTTGTTTCAAGAGCTACCAAACCTAAAACACAAGTTGCTTTACATAACAATTCAACATTCAAAATTGTTCAATACTCATAATAATATACTCATAATTACCTCAATCTACCTGAATCTAGGGTGCTTTCATATACCAAACTTGACATGTCCCTACAGCAATAACAAGGGTTAACAAGTTTAAACCTACCCACTTATTGACCTTAGTGGGTTTCTCCATGGGAGAAATGTGGATTATTCCATTGCTGACCTGTTTCTGAACATGCTAGTTGTCTACCCATAATACTCCTCACCCTGTTTTTGCAGTTCTCACTGACCCCAAATCAAATATGCTAAGTGATACAGGCTATTAACCCTATGTGTACCGATATACATTGTATTTTTGTATAAAGAAACAATCCTTGTATGTATATCTCATTAGTATTTTTTGTTTCCAATACAAATGTCCAACGCACTTTCCTGATGAAGAGCGAAGCTTGAAACATGTCGGACGATTGGGCAGATTACTTGTTGTGTTTTGGATAAATGTATCTTGACACTCTATTTGACATATGCCATTATCTTGGGATTGATGAGATGACCGCAAGCTGTTGATTAACTTTTCAGCCTGTGTCCACTTTTTTAATGCATGACATATCTTGACAATAATAAAGCTGTGTTGATTTTAATCATTTGGTTGTCTGTTTTCAATCTGTATTTATTAAGAATTTTTAGTAATACAAAAAAAAAATAATATATATATATATATATATATATATATATATATATACAGTTGTGTTCAAAAAAATAGCAGTGTGTTGAAAAAAGTGAATAAAGCTCAAAATCCTTCTAATAGCTTTTATTTCCATAGACACAAATGCATTGGGAACACTACACATTCTATTCCAAATGAAAACATGAAGAAAAATATATCAAATTTGTGTTGTTCCTCTAACAAAATTGAAGAAAAGTGAATATTAGACTGTTCAAAAAAATAGCAGTGTTTGTATTCTTCTTTACAAACTCAAACATTCACTATATAAACTGAAAAATGGTTGAAGATTTTGCTTTCCTTTGAATCACTTAATGAATATTTAGTTGTATAAGCACTGTTTCTGAGAACTGCTGTACATCTGTGTTGCATGGAGTCAACCAACTTCTGGCACCTGTGAACAGGTATTCCAGCCCAGGATGATTGGACTACATTCCACAGTTCTTCTCTATTTCTTGGTTTTGCCTCAATTACACAGAATGCATGCATGTCATGACTGTTGGGTCTGTTGGATTTCTATTACTCTACTACACATGCTAGTAAATTATTTGCCATGTAGAAATATCATTTCTACCAAAAACAGTGATTGATCAGGTCAGTGATGTCTGACTGCTATTATTTTGAACACAACTGTATATATATAGAAATGATATTTCATGGCAAATAATTTACTAGCAGGTGTAGTAGAGTAATAGTAATCCAACAGACCCAACAGTCATGACATGCATGCTGCTGATTCTGTGTAATTGAATCACTAATTGAAAGGGGCATGTTCAAAATAATAGCAGTGTGGAGTTCTATTAGTGAGGTCATTCATTCTTTGAAAAACAGGTGGCAATTATTGCCCTTATTTAAGAAAGGAAGGCAGCAAATGTTGTACATGCTGGTTATAGTGCATTTCTCTCTGAAATTCTGAGGAAAATGGGTCATTCCAGACATTGTTCAGAAGAACAGTGTACCCTGATTAAAAAGTTGATTGGAGAGGGGAAAACATATAAAAAAAGTGCAGAAAATGATAGGCTGCTCTGCTAAAATGATCGCAAATGCTTTAAAATGGCAGCCAAAACCTGAAAGACGTGGAAGAAAGCAAAAAACTACCATTCGAATGGATAGAAAAATAGCCAAAATGCCAAGGACTCAGCCAACAATCAGCTCCAGGAAGATCAAAGAAGGTGTAAAGTTCCCTGTGAGGACTGTTACAATTAGAAGACGCCTATGTGAAGCCAAGCTATCTGCAAGAAGCCCCCGCAAAGTCCCACTGTTGAAAAAAAGACATGTGCTGAAGAGGTTACAATTTGCCAAAGAGCACATTGACTGGCCTAAAGAGAAATGGCGCAACATTTTGTGGACTGATGAAAGTAAGATTGTTCTTTTTGGGTCTAGTGGCCGGAGACAGTTTGTCAGACGACCCCCAAACACTGATTTCAAGCCACAGTACACTGTGAAGACAGTGAAGCATGGTTGTGCAAGCATCATGATATGGGGATGTTTCTCATACTACGGTGTTGGGGCTTATTTATTGCATACCAGGGATCATGGATCAGTTTGAATACATCAGAATACTTGAAGAGGTCATGCTGCCTTATGCTGAAGAGGAAATGCCCTTGAAATGGGTGTTCCAACAAGACAACAACCCCAAACACACCAGTAAACGTGCAACATCTTGGTTCCAGACCAACAAGATTGACGTTATGGAGTGGCCAGCCCAATCCCCGGATCTTAATCCAATAGAAAACTTGTGGGGTGACATAAAAAATGCAGTTTCTGAGGCAAAACCAAGAAATAGAGAAGAACTGTGGAATGTAGTCCAATCATCCTGGGCTGGAATACCTGTTCACAGGTGCCAGAAGTTGGTTGACTCCATACAACACAGATGTACAGCAGTTCTCAGAAACAGTGCTTATACAACTAAATATTAATTAAGTGATTCAAAGGAAAGCAAAATCTTCAAACATTTTTCAGTTTATATAGTGAATGTTTGAGTTTGTAAAGAAGAATACAAACACTGCTATTTTTTTGAACAGTCTAATATTCACTTTTCTTCAATTTTTTTAGAGGAACAACACAAATTTGATATATTTTTCTTCATGTTTTGATTTGGAATAGAATGTGTAGTGTTCCCAATGCATTTGTGTGTATGGAAATAAAAGCTATTAGAAGAACATTGAGCTTTATTCACTTTTTTTCAACACACTGCTATTATTTTGAACACAACTGTGTGTGTGTATACATATATATATATATATATATATATATATATGTATATGTATATATATATATATATATATATATATATATATATATATACATATATATAGTGCAGTAAAGTGCTAGATAGCAGAATCATCATCAGCAATACGTTTACCAGTAGTCATAAACTCCAATCTCAATATAACCAGGAGCCAGTCACTTCCCCGACATAGGACCTCACAGATTCTGGGACTCTCTGTATACTCTCAAAGAAGGCCAGGTTCAATGACATTGCTCATATGTGTCCAGTTCATGTGCCAAAAGTAACTCCATATACTTAATATGGATATTTCTGAGACTTACTCTGCAAGGGTGGGAACCTATGTCTACAGCCAATGGCGTGGGATAACTGACCTGGCCACCGTCAAACAGTGGCATAAGAGCCTATGCTTGATATGTTTGATGAACTCTGGCAAACCTGGGGAGTGCTTGGAACAGTTGTATGTCTGTGACCTGGGCATAGATTTGGAGGACCAAATCCCATAAATCCCTAATGGGAGGACATTCCCACCAGATATGTACAGTGCTCAGCATAAATGAGTACACCCCAACAGAATGGTCAGAAAACCTTTACTTTCCTTTCAGAATCAACAATCTATAGGACACTATACTACAAAATACTCCCAAAATTGTGGGCCATTGTTTGCAAACAAGATTTGTTAATTTGCACACACAAAAAAGTATTTTCCTAACAAATTCATTCAAGACCATGTTGCAAAAATGAATACACCCCAATGAAAGTCTTAGGAGCAGAGCTACATTTTAGACAGCAAAATCCTAATTAACCAGAATTCAACTACACATGAGTCTAATTATTCATTAAACGGGTGTCCAGCAGACAGTTGATTATAAAACGGTGTTACTTAACAAAGAAAACCCCTTCCCATTTCATGCTGTCAGCAATGGCACCACATGGAAGAGAAATGATACAAGGCTTGAGAAAGAAAATAATTTCTTCACAAGAAAGGTAAAGGCTATAAGAAGATCAGCAAAGCTTTACTTATCAGTCAGAATACTGTAGCAAAGTGATACAAAAATGTAACAAAGATGGAACTGCAACCATCTCACAGAGACCTCCAGGCCATCCATGGAAGTAACACCTCGACAGGAGCCTCTTCCGATGAGAAGGGTTGAAGAAAATTGCCATGCAAATTCACTGCAATTAGCTAAAGAAGTAGAAAGCCAAACTGGGGTGATTGTTTCCCGTGATACAATACGGCATACACTGCAGAGGAATGGCATGCATGGGTGTCGTCCATGAAGGAAGCCTCTCCTAAAGCCCATGCATAAAAAAGCTCACCTAGAAAGTGCCAGGGCCCATGCTGAAAAAGAGTAAGACTACTGGGACTGTACTCTGGAGTGATGAGACCAAGATAAATGTTTTTGGAGCTGATGGCTTCAAAACTGTATGGCGTCACAAAGGTGAGGAGTACAAAGAAAAATGCATGGTGCCTACAGTGAAACATGGTGGTGGCAGTGCTCTTCTGTGGGGCTGCATGAGTGCTGCTGGTGTTGAGAAGCTGCATTCCATTGATGGTATCATGAATTCAAAGATGTACTGCTCTACACTGAAACAGAAGATGCTACCATCACTCCATGCCCTTGGTCGTCGTACATCATGACAATGATCCAAAACACACAAGTCCACTGTTGCATTTCTGAAGAAGAACAGGGTGAAAGTGATTCAGTGGCCAAGTCTGTCTCCTGATCTGAACCCAATTGAACACCTATGGGGAATTCTGAAGAGACAAGTTGAGCATCACTCTCTATCCAGTATCCAGGCTCTAAAAGAGGTTGTTCTTGAAGAAAAGAAAAAGACAGATGTTGCAATATACCACCAACTTGCTCATTCCATGCTGAGAAGACTTGGTGCTGTCCTTACAAATCATGGAGGTCATACAAAATACTAGATGTAGTAGTTTTTGTTGTGGGGTGTATTCATTTTTGCATCAACTAATTTGAGTAAAACTGAAGAATTTGTAATCTAAGTTATATTATTAACCTTACTTTCATGTAATGTGCTAAACAAATGTTCTACAAAACTCAGTTTTGTCAAAAATTTTGAAATTGTTCTTGTGTTCATTGAGGTATTGATTAAAATCTTAGTTTTCAAAGGGATGTACTAATTTATGCTAAGCACTGTATAAGGATACCCGACAGGCTTGGTATCTTCAACACTGGTCCATTACCAAGGGGTATAGGTGATGTAAGAGTGTGGGGCACCTGTGGCACCTGGTGAGAAGTTTAAAATTGGTTTCTTGGGCTTTAATGACCAGGAATAGAAGGTGGGTGAAAGAAAAACATTTTCCCAGTCCACAGGATAAATTTGTGTACTCAAATCTGATGCCTATTTAGCTGTATAGGGCAGGAGATTCAGGTATTTGCAATTCAGAAGGATTTTATAGAGAGCCGAGAGGAGGATCTTCTAGGAGCAGAGCCTCCAACGGCTTAGGGTCTCTGGTTAGCCAGTCTTTATTCAAGAGAGAATGGAAAAAGAACAGTTGTCTGTATTACATTCACTTGGTGAATGTTGCCTGGCCAGGGTTCCTAGATGATGCAAAGGAAAGCAGGGCTCCACCCCAAAAGATCTGCATCAACCATCTGTGTCTTGGCTTGTCCCAAATCATGAATTTCTTGTGGGTCATAGCAGGGGACAATGCAGGTTTCCAATAAAAGGCATCAGTAGCCCTATTCGGGACAAGAGATTATATTTGTGCAGCAATTTTTCTGCAAAAGCAGATGGGCCATAGTATATGGAAGGGAGGAGGACGAGCCCCTGAGCATAGGGTCTTTCTAAGGGAATGCTCAGAGTTCATAAGGTACAATGACTTGTTCAATGGAGACCCTCTGCTTGGTGTGTTATTCATGGAACCATTTCATCAATCTAGTGAAATCATGGAAGAGGAAAAGATCAATGGCTCCCGCTCTTCCCTTGGATTTGGGATGGCAGAGCATTGTTCTATGTTATGGTGACTTTATACAACAAATAAACTTTGTAAAGACCATTTGCAATATCTTAAAGAAGGTCTGAGGAGTGTAGATAGGGACAGTTTGGAACACATATAAAACCTGGACAATGTCCATTTTCAAAATATTAATCCTGCCAAACCATGAAACATCTTCCAGTCATAGGTTTTAAGGTCGGATAGAGTACTTTTCAGGAGAGGAATAAAGTTCAGGGTATACAACTGAGAAAGGTTCATGGAGAATTTTATGCCTAGATTCTTGATAGCAGATGGGCAAATCTCAAATGGGACGTTATTCCAAAGGTGTTGGACCTGTGATGGTAGTACAGATATGTTTAGGATCTTGGTGAGGTTGACCTTAAAGGTACTAAACAATCCAAACCATTGAAACTCCTGTAGCACTGAGGGCATGGTTGTGTGAGGATTGGTGACATATAACACTAGGTCATCCATGAACACAGAAAGCTTGACATCCTGGCAACCTAACCCCATGCCTAAGATACAAGTGGCTGTTTGTAATATGTGGTGCCACTAAAGTCCCCTTCACCCTTTGATTTCCATCTATTCATAGTAATATTGGGGTGTTGGCAATATGTAGAGTCTCAATCCACACTGTCTCATTTTGTTTTCTGGAATGCAAACTTTATTTCTGACCTAGCTATGTAAGTAATACAAATCCCCAGCCATAGAATCCTGCACTGGAGGTAACATTGTCTTCACTGTGCAGCTTAGGACATGGGAGACAAACAGTGCAAGCCAATTCCTATGGACACAGCATACAATAACATATTTGCTTCATGCCCTCAGTTGCCAGTCAGGGACATGATCCAGTGTTGATAGAGGACATCATTAACTCAGTACCCACCCGCTTGTGGAGACGCTCTGCTTCTTCCTGATATGCAGCAAGCTGTTGTTTCCATTGTTTGACATTGGCAGTAGACTCCAGCAAGGCTGCTGTGAGCTTGGCATTGTTTCCTTTAAGTGTGGCCAGTTCTGCTTCCCAGTGCTTGTTGATTGCAGAACTGCTGGTAAAGAAAAATAGACACAATATTCAATACCGCCAGCAATAGTAGCATATACATCTTACATATGGAAAGCACTAATGTGTTGAGTGCTTCTAGAAACAATTTCATAATTCTCTATGTTCTGAAGCATGCTAATGTAAAATGAACACAATAAAATATGCATCTCTTAATTCATCATTTTTCATTAGACTATCAGCATCAAATTACAGCTAAAGTAAAGAAGAGAGGCGCTAAGAGGACCTGTTGCTGTGCCTGTACCCCCACATCAGGGAGAGGGGATGAATCTCCATCTGTGGCTGCTGGAGCTGCCTCAGATGTTGAGGAGAGAGTGGGTTGCTGCTTCTTCGGGATCTGAGCTGAGAGACTGCAGCCTGTGTGAATATCTGGGGACCTGATTGCTGGGTACTGCTGATTGCCAAGCATTTGGGACCAGATTGGCCACCTGCTAGGAAGTGGTGAGTTGAACTACATTCCTTAAATGCCCGCCACACATGGTTAGCAAAAACAGAGATTGCTCCTACTTAGCGGCTTAGCCTTTGTGAGCTATTCATATTCTTAAAGTGACAGTGCACCACCTAAAGAAGAGCCCCACCATAAGACAGTCAACGTTAATTACTAGGTGCCAAATACTTTCTGCCACCTCCAGGGGTACCCCACATTAGGAACATGTACACCCACTCGTTACTAAGGTTATACACACAAGGTGTATACCAGGACCCTTTCTAATCTGCTGAACTGTTTGATATTGTTTTCACAGACTCTAGTAGCCCAGTTAAGACTTAAGTTAACAGTGCTATAGTTTCTTTAAGTGCAAGTTAGTGATCCTTTGCCCAATTCTCTATCGTAGTGTTCTTATATCTATGCATTTATCCAGGGATTTTTTCTCAGAGAATAGGTGCAGGAACTCAACCCCTCCCCCACCCATCACGGGGGATGGGAGCACTGCATCAAATAGTGGATGTGACCTAATTGCACAATAATTGTTAAATACCAGGAGTGCATATTTTACAGAGTGCACAGTACAGGACTGCACTATATAAAGAAAGAACAGAGTTCAGGATTGTACTACACTGCTCAAAAAAAATTAAAGGAACACTTTGAAAACACATCAGATCTCAATGGGGAAAAATCTCATGCTGGATATCTATACTGATATGGACTGGGTAATATGTTAGGAACATAAGGATGCTCCATTATTTGGTGGAAATTAAAATGATCAACCTACAGAGAAATTAATTCAAAGACACCCTGAAAATATGAAAATATGATGCAGCAGGTTAGTCCATTTTGCTGAAATTTCATTGCAGCAACTCAAAATGGTATTTAGTAGTTTGTATGGCCCCCACATGCTTGTCTGCATGCGTCAGAACATCGGGGCATGCTGCTAATGAGAGGACGGATGGTGTCCTAGGGTATTTCCTCCCAGATCCAAACCAGGGTATCACTGGCTCCTGAACAGTCTGAGGTGCAACCTGGCAGCGTCGGATAGGCCGAAACATGATATCCCAGAGGTGTTCTATTGGATTTAGGAAAGGCGAGTGTAGGGGCCATTCAATGGTATCAATTCCTTCATCCTCCAGGAACTGCCTGCATACTCTCACCGGGCATTGCTGTGCACCAGGATTGTTTGGTCAGAGACATTTACACCAGTGGCCTGCCAGAGGTCATTTTGTAGGGCTCTGGCAGTGCTCATCCTGTTCCTCCTTGCACAAAGGAGACGATACTGGTCCCGCTGATGGGTTAAGGACCTGCTACGGCCCTGTCTAGCTCTCCTAGAGTAACCACCGGTCTCTTAGAATCTTCTCCATGCTCTTGAGACACAGCAAACCTTTTGGCAAAGGCATGTATTGCTGTGCCATCCTGGAGGAGTTGGACTGCCTGTGCAACCTCTGTAGAGTCCAGGTATCACCTCATGCTACTAGTAGTGACACTGACCCTAGGCAAATGCAAAACTAATGAAAAATAGTCAGAAAAGATGAGTAGGGAAAAAAATGTCAGTGGCCTCCACCTGTAAAACCATTCTTGTTTTGGGGGTTGTCTCATTGTTGCCCATCTGGTGCACCTGGTGTTAATTTCATTAACACCAAAGCAGCTGAAACTGATTAATTTACTTACTGCTACTTAACTGACCAAATCAAAAACCCAGGAGTTTAATTGACTTCATGCTATACTCTGATTAAAAAGTGTTCCTTTAATTTTTTGAGCAGTGTACATAGACAGTGCAGAATTTCCAACATTTCAAATAGCGTTCCAGGGAAATCTTTTTTAGTTGTGCATTCAGCAAGCCATTGTAGAATGTACTTTATGTGAGGGGCATTCACATATGCAGTGTAGGACATTATGTGCAGGAAAGGCATGCAGTGTGTATGGCAGTGTGTGCAGGAAAGGCATGCGGTGTGTATGGCAGTGTGTACAGGAAAGGCATGCGGTGTGTATGGCGGTGTGTACAGGAAAGTCATGCGGTGTGTATGGCGGTGTATGCAGGAAAGGCATGTGGTGTGTATGGCGGTGTGTGCAGGAAAGGCATGTGGTGTGTATGGCGGTGCGTGCAGGAAAGGCATGCGGTGTGTATGATTATGTGTGCAGGAAAGGCATGCAGTGTGTATGATGATGTGTGCAGGAAAGGATTGCAGTGTGCATGATGATGTGTGCAGGAAAGGAGTGCGGTGTGTATGGTGGTGTGCACAGGAAAGGCATGCAGTGCGTATGATGATGTGTGCAGGAAAGGAGTGCGGTGTGTATGGTGGTGTACACAGGAAAGGCATGCAGTGTGTATGATGATGTGTGTATGATGATGTGTGCAGGAAAGGAGTTCGGTGTGTATGGTGGTGTGCACAGGAAAGGCATGGAGTGTGCATGATGATGTGTGCAGGAAAGGAGTGCGGTGTGTATGATGGTGTGCACAGGAAAGGGATGCAGTGTTTCTGACAGTGTTAGCAGGAATAGAGTGCAGTGTGTATGAAGGTGCAAGCAGGAAAGCAGGCAGTGTATATTACGGTATACGCAGGAAAGGAGTGCGGTGTGTATGGTGGTGTACACAGGAAAGGCATGCAGTGTGTATGATGATGTGTGCAGGAAAGGAGTTCGGTGTGTATGGTGGTGTACACAGGAAAGGCATGCAGTGTGTATGATGATGTGTGCAGGAAAGGAGTGCGGTGTGTATGGTGGTGTACACATGAAAGGCATGGAGTGTGTATGATGATGTGTGCAGGAAAGGAGTGCGGTGTGTATGGTGGTGTACACAGGAAAGGCATGCAGTGTGTATGATGATGTGTGCAGGAAAGGTATGCAGTGTGTATGATGATGTGTGCAGGAAAGGCATGCAGTGTGTATGATGATGTGTGCAGGAAAGGAGTGCGGTGTGTATGATGGTGTGCACAGGAAAGGCATGCAGTGTTTCTGACAGTGTGAGCAGGAATGGAGTGCAGTGTGTATGAAGGTGCAAGCAGGAAAGCAGGCGATGTATATTACGGTATACGCAGGAAAGGAGTGCGGTGTGTATAATGATGGGTAGTAGGTGCAGGGAGAGGAGTTCAGATAATATGAAGTTACATGATATGAACAAGCCCTAATTCAATGTTCCATCACTGCAGCGGCCACTGGGCAGTGGCAAGCATTGAGGCAGAAACTGATGTTAGGTGCAGACACACAGCCCCAGTGCTTAATACATTCCTGCACACTCACCCCCCCTTCTGCATCTCCATACCACTCTAACGTTGGATTTACACTTGTGAATGCACCCTGTCTACGACCAGCTGCAAGAACCCCAGCATGGGTTCCCGCAATTAGGTGCAGCCTCATTGAAGCAATGGGAAGTCCCAGCTCTCGCAGCTTATCACACCCACTTGCATGTAATGGCTCATTCTACAATCCCATGCGAGCGATCAGACCTGGACGGAGACTACTTGAGTGATTACATGTATGTAGGTATGATTAGCTGTGGAAGCCGACAGCTTCACATTGCTACTTGCAGCTATTTGCAGGAACCCTTGCTTGGGTTCTAGCAGCTGATTGCAAACACTGCCCCCTTAAACTTTGCCTCCCTGCCACCTTAACACCTTTCCATTCTGTAGACGTCGCACAACATCCTGCCAGCTTATGTCCCCATACACATCCTGGAGGCTACATCCTTCCTGGCAGTATCTCCAAGGCCAGTTAGTAAGCTCTCTTCCCGCCCACACGTCTTCCAACATCAGCCGGCAATAGAGATCCTCCACCTCCAGTTTTGAGCTTTCTGCATCCAGCACTTAGAGGTACTGAATGAGAGAACTGCAGAGTGCTTGGAGGAGATGGAGGAGGAAAGAAGTGCAGCGAGGGTTGAGTGGAGCTGTCGGCGGTGTCGGGAGAGGAGTGCTGTCACTTGTGGTCACAGAAGCTGGGTTTCGGTGTTTACAAGTGACCCTAACGAGCTGCAAGCACAGGGCTGGAGCAGATTCTTCCAGGGTCCGCCTGAAATAAAAGCCCTACATTTATCTGTTTGTTGATTTGCACCTTATTGCATTCAATTGTCTTAATACTTTCAACTGATTTACTGTCAAGATATTTGTGGCCTCATTCCTGTGCATTAGTGGAAGTTTGCTAACCCCAAAACCCACAGGTTACATAGTTAGTCTGGCTGAAAAAAGACAAAAGTCCATCCAGTTCAACCTTTAAAAAAAAAAAGTTATAATCCTACTCCCACAGCTGACCCAGAGGAAGGCAAAAAAAATCAGCAAAGAACAATCCAATTTGCTCCTGCAGGGGAAAACAAATTCCTTCCTGATGTGAAAATGGTCTTTGGTTTATGGCCAAGTGTGTCAGTGGGAACTGGGCAATTTAGACAGTCATGGCAAAGCAGAGGGACCATCATCACCCCCCCTTGGGGAGACATTGTGTCATTTAAACATTTGTCACACCCTTACACCACCAGCATCCTGACATGTTGACACAAGGCAGCTTCCACAG